ATATATATATATATTCATGTTAGTTTTGAGGATGAGAGCTCAAACCTGTGACTTATACAATTGTACATTTAGCAGTCAAATAACACCTGAGGCTTGACAAGAATATATTTTAAGCTCTGATTTTGTATATTTCTTATTGTTTTGTAAAGATCATTGTTTTTTTTCTTCTATTTTAGTTCTCATTAGCCAATGGCAAGGTGAACCCAAGGAACGTGTCATCTCCCTAGTCCTCACACATCTCCCACTGCTCAAACCCGGTAACACAGAAGCCAAGGGCGAGTACATGCGCCTGCTGCCACGTATCCTGGCCCATACCATTGAGCATGGTCATCACCTGGAGGAGTCCCGCCAGCTCCTGTCCTACGCTCTCATCCACCCTGCCACCTCTCTGGAAGACCGGGCTGCTCTGGCTCTTTGGCTTAACCATCTCGAGGAGAGGGCTGCAGCGCGGGGAGATTCACTGGAAAGACCTCCACCTGCTGGGCCCCACCACCACCAGTCCACACCACCATCGACCCTCACCTCGTCAGTATCCTCCTCTTCCACTAACACGTCTTCGTCGGGCAACCTGTACAACCTGCATCATCACCAGCGTTATGGCTCGGACGATCGTCTCAATGGGTGGCAAAACTCAAGGGATTCGGGAATCGGCGGAGGCTGGCATCAGCAGCAGGGCTGTGAGAACGGCCACCTCCTGCTTTACCCGTCATCCTCAGTGCCAGCAACCATCAATACAGTTGGAACAAGCGGGGGAAATAACACTAGTAAGTATCCTGTTGGTTTTGTATGTCTAATACTGTGTTCAGTATGTTTAAAATGTGTGATTTTAGCAGCTTGCACAATATGCTTAGAGTTGTCACAGCCACACAATAGTAATAATATACAACCGTGATACAAACTGCATGATTAATTATTCAAAAAGTTTGTTTATTATATGCTACTGTTAGTTTTAGATTAATACTTTTGAACACCACCTTTTTGTTGCCTCTACGTTTAGTGCCACTCTTTGTTCTGAGAAATCTTGTCAGTCAGGCCTTGAATCCTGTTTTTTTCAAAACATTCTTTTTATTTGTTGTTTCTAAAAYTATCCTTGTAAACGTGGCACCATTTCTATCAATAACATGGATACACAGAATACACAACAAAACACAAGTCCAGTTGCTTCGTCTTTTTACTTTTAATTTTCCATGAAGAAAGTATGATAATGACGTCCAGCCTCGGTCGCGGCGCGTATCGATCCTAAAGTTACTCGGTCGATACTTTTTTCCAGCTCGTTCGTTCAAAAATAAAAAGCTTCACAGGAGCATCCCAGTCAGAGGCAGGTTCAGATATAAACACTGAACTAAACAAGCAGGTCAGATAATTATTTAATCGGCTCTGATTAAACAACAACTTCAGAGCCGACGTYCAAAAAGTAGCATCCATGCTGACGTCTCTTACTGCACATGCGTGTCACATCAGTGCTGTGTAGCGTTCACACTGGAGTCTGATGCAGGTCACATTTAAAATGTAATGTGAACGTTCACACCAAAAGATCGGATTTAAAAAAAAATCTGAATTGAGCATTAAGACCTGAAGTGTGAACGTAACCTAAGTTACAGGCTGACTTCAGGTCTGGTTTAGATCAGTTACTTATAAATGATATGTTTTTCTGGTATAAATCTTCTGTTTTACATGATTGTTTAATGAAATTAACATAGACTATGTTCACACTGCAGGCAAATGCGACCCAAATCTGACTTTTTTATAACAGTCTGAACTCGACAAATCCAATTTTTTCAAATCAACCAAGGCTGTTTCCGTATGTGGTTTTAAATCAGATACATATCTGATGTTTTCAAAGCGACTGCAGTGTGAACGCTCGTGTTGCACAAAAAAATCGGAATTGAGCATTAAGACCTGCAGTGTGAACGTAGCCCTAGTTATTTATTTATTGTAAAAACATGACAGATAATTTGTGAAACAGATCCAGTTCAGCTTGCTGTTTATCTATGGAGGCTGTGAGCCGTTTCCCTGTTTGGTCTCTGTTTCTGCTCCTCCATGCTGTCACAGAGGCTACCAGTGGCTGGGATGGGCGGGGCTCAGTCTAGGGTTCTTATTTAAGCTTATGTGTCCAATTAAAATACATAAATAGAATAAATAAAACTGAAAACAAGGTGGGTGCGTAACACTTACACAGTGGGTACAAGCTAAATGCAACAAGAAGAAAAGGATGAGAATGGCGAAAAGAAGAACAAAAACCACATGACCACAAAGAGCTGGATGGTGTTGGCTGGGAGTTGTCAGTCCAAATATGTAGACATGATGAACACTTTTCATAATATAATATCCAGCAGCTGCAGGGAAGGGCTTTCATCATGACGTTCAAAGCACATGAGGGTAATTTCTTTATACACAAGTGTAAGACTTTTAAACTTATTCCCCTTTCCCCTATAAGTATAAGTTAAATGTATATTGAAGATCTTTTTGCAACATTTGCTTTAGTTTTGTTGACTGTTAAATAAAGTGATAAAAACCTTTTTGACTGTAGAATATTGTGTAACATTAAGAGAATTGGCTCTCTCAAGGCCATGTTATTGTTCAACAGCCTTGTCTGCTCATTAAAGTAATACAGGTTATGATCACACACAGGCAGGTAATCCATCATTATTGTTATTCTGTCTGTCATTAGCAGTGTTGTACGTTAGACAGAAAGTCAGTTTATGACAATTGTTTTCAAAAGCTTGTGCTGTACACAAAAACTCAAGGGTTGCTTTTCAAGATTTGTGACTCTGGAACCCATTTTCTAAGAAGTCCATTAAAGATGTTAAAATACAAAGCATCAAAACCAAAGCAAACACTCGGCACAGACTGCAGCGTGTGAGCTTGAAGACAACACACACAGAGGGCAGGGCGCTTAAAACTGAACATAACTATGGTCAGAGCAGGATATTTCCAGACGTGAATGCAAGAGCTCGGTGGATTTTTTTTTCTTTTTCTCTGAGATGAAACAAACAGCTGAGGGTTTATAAATAAAGGTACATTTAAAACCCTCCTCGCTGCTCCAAGAAAAATGCTCTTATTTTTTTGACTGCTCACACAAAGACCTCAGGATTTCACAACCGACACGACAACCGACACGACAACTAGAGCTACCTCAGCCACCAGCTCTGGATTAGTGGAGATGGTCAGCAACATTTCTTCACCACGAAAAATAAACAAGAGTTTGATTCACTAAAAGCTAAATGGAAACTGTTGAGTCATGGCTTTAGACGTGACACAAAATTCAGGGAGAAATGGGAAACGTGTATTATCAGTGCTTTTGGTGCTTTTCCAATCAAATCCTTGAAATTTTTTTTACCACATCAATGAGTATAGCTGACATTTTGGGTGGCCAATGCCCTGTGTTTTATTTTTCTCTCTGTCCTTCAACATTTTATCTGGTCATAGTGTTGACTACAGGAATATAATTGTCCAAACACATCAACCTATGTGCTACTGATAGAACATCCAGATGACCCCCTACTCATACTCGCAGCTTTAGTCCAAGCCACAGCAGCACATACCAACCATCCTTTCCCTTGTAAGGCAGCCTTTGTGGGAGACTGTATTTAGAGAAAATAGCTAATATTTAGGGACTGGAACTTGAAATGTTAGCTGGGCAGCTATTTTAAACGGTCTCGATGAAGTCCTATACATAGCGCCAACAGTGAGAGAACCACATATAGGACTAGGAGGAGAGACTGAAGTATTGGTGGCAGCTTACCCCGTCAGAGAGGCGACACAAAAAGCTCTTTGGCTCAGCACCTTTTTATTCTGTTTACACCCTCGAGCTGTCTCTAGGATGCTGGAGCTCATTAATTTGATTAGATTTGTTTTTCAGTTGCTACTCATTCTTTTATTTGACTCAAGGTTTTGTTATTCATTTATTTAGATGAACACAGACTTAAAGCAGCTTTTGACTGAATTCAGCAAAACGTTGGAGGACTTATTGTAACGCCTATTATGAAGTTGTGAAATCAATTCATTCAGTGACTAATGATATCAGTACTGAGAAGTAATCTAAGTTCAACAACTTGCTCATTTTACAAACATTACAGTCGGTTTGATAGTGACTTTTGTATTGATAAACACTTGCGAATAATAGTTTTTGCAGTGTTTTGTGGTATTGCTTTTATGAGACAGAAGCACCAAGTTAGCTGCAGCCTGCACGACAATTATGTCTGAAAGAGAAACATTTTATAAACCAATCGAACCTAGCTATGTTTAAATAGATGCTTTATAAATACATCATTTATCACAAATGTATAGAATTTGTCAGTTTAACTTTAGGCTTGGCTAATCTAGGTTTAGCCAAGTTTAAAAGTATAGATTTTTTTTTTACTCTGAAAGGCGCACAATTTTACAGAAAGCTCAGGCTGTTTCAATGAAAGTCTTAAATTTGGAAAAAAAAAAAAGAAACATGTTAAAAAATAGCTGTTCCCCTCTTCATATTTAAATATGGTTTGTTTTATTGTATATAGAGCATGCAGAAATATTCTACACAAATGATCTGTATATTTATTGGAAATATTTGTGTTTGAACTTTTATGGCCTAAAGATTGGGGGGGGGGGGAAGAAAAAAATTCTGAAATTATGTTTCTCATTCTTAGTGTCAAAAAGGGATGAATGAAATTTTAAGACTGATTTGATTTTTGTAAATAAAACGCTGAAACACAGAAGTGTCCATAAATGAGTTGTATGATGACTGTCGCTCTGTGACCAAAGGCTTTTCAGAGATACTTCATGTGGCTTTTGACCAAATAAGTCCCATTTACTGAATACATGTTGACTACTGCCTCCACTTCACCTCCATTTTTCTCAATAAAAAGCAAAATAAGATAAATTTCATTCCATTTGTGTGTTGTACGATTGTTGCTCTGTGAGCACAAGGGTTTTTTCCCTCCTGAGTTTTGACAAAATCAGTGCTTTTTTTTCCCATCAGTTTTCATCCTTGGAGTTTTCCTTTCAGCGAAGGGTGGGCAGTATTACGACTTTGATATTGATTTGATACCAAATAAATACTTGATAAATATTTGTTACCGAAGTCTACATCAATGCTTTTTACTTGTAATGGGATGTTCATTGAATAACTTTGATATTGCAGGCACCCCTTCTGGTGGTGAAACAGTTTATTGTAGGGAGACAGTAAGTTGGCACGACCTGTCATGGATTATGAACAAACAAGCCTTTTTTTTCGTTTCTGTCTTAAAGTTATTTTCTTTTTTGCTATCTGAAACAGAAAATGAAACATAAATTATTATGTTTTAATTGTCCTCTTCCCTTTTTGACACTAAGAATGAGAAACGCTTTGTATTTTAATTTTAATTTCAGTAAAACAAAAATAAAATAACCACTCGTTTCTTGTTTTTTTAATACCCGTTTCTAAAGTGAAAATCCAATGACCCAAAGATACACTGACTATATAATAGTATTACAGTATTACAATGATTTTGTCATGTAGCTTTCATCCCCAGTTAAACACAGACATGTCTCAACACACTAATATTGGGAACATTGTGTGATGGTTTAATGTTCACTCGAAACTGGGCAGGGCTTTAGATTGAAAACTTTATCTTCCAGACAGGAATACAATCAACCAGTTACAGTGTGCTGTAACAGAGTGTCTCACTAGCCCTTGTGTTTTGCAGTTCTTACAAGTGGAAGTCAACAGCACAGCCCGCTGAAGCGCTCCGTATCCCTCACCCCGCCAATTAGTGGACACAGCAACCAACCTCTGGGCCATGTATGGCTGTCCCAGGAAGACCTGCGGACGGCGAGAGGTCCGGCCCCAGATCATGCCCCTCTCTCCCCCCAGAGTAGCATCGCCTCCTCGGGCAGTGGGGGCAGTGAACATTTGGACGATACTGGTTTAGGAGGCAGTTRAGGTCTGCATCGCAGCTCCTTCCATGAGGATGGGAGTGGCATGAGGGGTGAGTAAGACCGGACTGGTGGTTCTGTTGGTTCCTTTTTGCTGAAAAATCTCTTCTTGCCATGAGGTTAAAGGATGGCCAGCAGTCCTAAAACTTACTACAAACAGGTCATTCTCACACTTGGGGGACAATTCAGTTACAAAGTAGCTTAATGTGTATATTTTTGGTCTGTGGAAGAAAACCAGAGTAACCYGTGATTTCCCATTGGTGCTGAGGCAGAACTTTTAAATTCACACAGAAAGACTACAGACTGGGATGTGATTCTGATTTTCTGCTTATTTCTTTGGTAGCTGAAGAGAAATCTACTGATTTAATAGGTGATGTTTATTTTTACAAAGAGTTTGGCAGTGTAGTAGTTTTTCTGAAACAAACAGTAATAATCCTTTTTCTTGATATCATCTTTTTCTTAACATATTAGGGATTCATCWTAATTTGAAATATTTGGGGGATATGTTCAAGATACAGAAATGTGAGTATGTGACTACAAAAAGTCACGTAGTTTAAACATTTATATAGTGTCTTATAAATTAATGTCTGCATTTTATTTAGTAAACTGTGGTCCTAAAAATAAACAAAGGAAATCATAAAACAGCTGAATATAGAAATAAATAGTTTTTATTCACTATGCACTTCTCTTTATTCTGATTAAACTAAACAGAGTAGTTTACACTTTAATGTGTAAACCGATGCAAAGATGTCTAATCATGATGGCACACCTACTTGTTTCAGAAAGCCATCTATAATTAAACACAWGGTCAGCAGGAAGCTGAAGAGTCTGTTTTAAAAATATCCTTACATATTGAATAAGCTGTGTGTTTGTAGTGGAAATGAAAATCCTGGGTGTTGGTAAGTTTTCTCGAGCAACAACAATTTTTTGGCATTTCAGTGTAAGAGTGGTCTGCTGTCTCCTGCACAGATGTTCCTGCGTGGCTGAAAAGTCTTCGTCTCCATAAATATGCCGCCCTGTTCTCTACAATGACTTATGATGAGATGATGTCATTGACTGAGGAGCAACTGGAAGCACAGGTTCAGACAAGTACACGCACACACTCTCRAGTACAGTTATCTTTAWGGGGACTTTGCATTGACTTCCATTCATGAGGTACKTCATAGGTACATTCATAGGTACAAACCAAACCCTAAACCTCACCCCTGGCCCATTTCCCCRCATGGGGACAGGCCTAGATCCTTATAAGTACCATTTGGCTCCACAAGTAGGTGTGTATGCCAAACAATGTCCCCACATAGTAAGGAATACCTGCTAACACACACACATATACGTAAATATATATTTTTTAATAAAATGTGTCATAATGTACAACAATTCCTTTTTATAGGTGGTTATTTGTCAGGGGCAGCAAATTTGGTTTTGAGTGATTGTTTAGTCTGATGTTTTCTTTGAGTGAGCAAACTGTAGGCTGAAAAAATGTTAACATGTTCCAAGAGACAAGTTGGTCTACAAAGAARATTTTTAAGGAAATATGAGAGGATACTGGAGGCGTTTAGTGAAGAAGCATATCAATAAGATCTGCGCTAACTCTGAAGAAACTGCCTGACTCAGAAATGACTGAGGATGAGTACTGGTGGCAGGGTAACTGTGGAATATCATAAAGTCAACCAGGAGGGGTGCTAACGGGAGAATCCTGTCATAATTCCTCAGAAAATTATAAACTGTACAAACCAGATGGCAGAGTTGTACAGTAACTAAGTACAAATATTTTGTTACTGTACTTAAGTAAAATTTTTGGGTATCTGTACTTTACTTGAGTAATTACTTTTCAGCCTACTTTTTACTTCTACTTCTAACATTTTTACACAATTATCTGTACTTTCTAAAAAATAAAGACGAAGTAGAAAGTTGTTACTTTTATTTCATTGTTGCTTGTTTTCATTCCAGCTTGTTATTGTAAAATATAAATAC